TACAAATTCTTCCGGTTTATAAACCGCCTTATCTCCCGACGTTTATTCTGATAAGCGAGATTTCACTGCACTGACTCCGAGAGGCACGCGAGAAGCCGCGATTCCGGTCTTCGGTGGAAAATACGATTTTATTAAGATGCTACATCGTAGGGTGTCGCGCGACGCCCTTTAAGCACGTCGACTACGTTAATTATGCCACTTAAATTAGGATAAGGTTGTCTTTGGACATCACGATCGAATGGATCCGCCGCAAAATAGCACATACGTTTTTCTCTCAATTTCTTTTTCCTGATTTACTTAATTGCGCTGTTTAATATTTGCATGTCCATTCAATTCTATCGTGGGATACATGCGTTGAGTTAGTACGTTGCGTTTCATTACATAAGCTGAATTAATATATCCTCATTGAGAAGTAATTAATAAGCCGGTAATACGGAATTCGCCGAGAGAGAGAGAGAGAGAAAGAGAAGTTTCTTAGAGAATTTTATAGTAAATACGTTATGAAATATTAAAAGATGCGGTAAACGAAAAATGGGTTCGAGAGATGAAGAAATATAATCTCAGAAATGCCTTAACTTGTATACGATTCTTAACTGCAAAATGCAAAATGTAATACACTAAATGCTAATTATAAGCTGCTCACATAAACAGGCATTGATTCTTTATACAATATATTAAGTTGTATTAATTGGATTTATGTTAATTGGATATATACTCTTTAGCAGTTTTTTTTCTGATTAATATAGTAATATTAATATGTTAATGTAGAGAATTTTCTAAAAATATATCGTGTAGCAATTTGTGAATTTAAATTCTACACTTTTAATTATTATTATCTTAGTATTAAAAAAAATGTTTCTTCAATATGATGATGATATACTAATTAGTATATTCATTAACATAAAGATTAAGATCTATTGAAATTTCACAGTTTAATGACTTTAAATTTCGTAGAATTTATAGACTAAATAAAATTTAAAAAGTATGATTCTTATCTTATATCCATAATTTTTAATAGATAATCAATGCTAATATATGTCTTATTTTAAAAAATATTTTTAAAGATAGCATCGCAAATAATATGGTTCATTGACACCATGTAATTTATTCCAGGTCGCTGCCAGTTGACACCCGCCTCCTTTTCTCGTTTAACAATACAGTCAAGATGATTTTGCAAATACCGCAGAAATGTTCGACTCGACCGATATATCTAGGGAGTCTCGAGACCTTTGACGTGCAGGCGGCGCCGGTACAATCTCAAATTTACAATTCGCGTCTCGATCGCCCGCCTACGTTATTCACGCATGAGCAGTCCCTTCGCATAACTAAGGATAAGATAGTAAAAACGTCGCGCTAGTGGAAGATATATTTAGCCTGCAGAACAAGATCTTAAGCTTATTAAACGAAAATTCTGTCTTGATAGATACATTAACATCACCACTAATCAGAAAAGAAAGTGTTCATGCTACAAAGTATTTAAAATGAATATCCTATTAACATAACTAAATTTACAAAATATCCATCCATCACTTATTTATGCAAGCTGCCATCCTGTGATTAGCATTCAATGCGATGTATGTTGCACTTTGCGGTCTCTCTTTCTTTCTTTCTACCTCTCTCTTTTTTTCTCTCTTTGACAAGTTGACGTCGATATGCGTATTTCTAAACTTTCGCCGACTACAATCGCGAATCTTGGTGATTCAGATAACGATTAATCATTAGCATCCGCAACGCGACATTTACGGGCCATTATCGATAGTCCCATGCACATCGAATTAATTTCCCGGTCGACGAGGAAAACCGCCAAGCTCCGTTTACGTCGCAATATCTCGATATCGAAATCGCGAATACGTAATGCTGTTTCTCGTCGTTAATGTTACCCACTTGATGTATAGGACGTAATTTTCTTTTAAATCTCTTGGAGGTAATTTATATTAATAAAATAAACAAAAAATTCAAGAATTGAGAAATAAACTGCCATAACAATAATTTATTGTAAGCAATTATATTACTAAGACGGAAATCGTATTTTAAAGATATTTTAATTCTGGGAAACAACTTAATATGTAAATAAATGAAATCATCCAATAAAGCTGGACCTCTCTGCACGTTTGCTTAGGACATCGTACATGATTGAACTACTGCATAAGTGTAGCATGTGCAATTGCAGGATTTGAAATGGCTGTTTCCGTGACTGATAGCAATAATCTGACAGGTGTATCAACGTCATTTATGTCGCCGTTGAGGCGATCCACGTTAAACGGAGCGTATCATCTGTAGACGAAAGAAAGAAGTAGGTGGCATTCCATCACAGGAAGTTAATTAACATCGTGGACGGCTCTCTCGAGAGCCTCAGGTTGAAACGAACTAGATCTATCTAAATAAACCAGAAACTCATGAACGGCGCGCCGTGTCTCGCGGGTATCTATCTGCGTATCTGATGCCACTTATGACGTATGCTTAAACTAACGCATTGCTTACGAATAGTCGATCTTCCAGTCAATCCTCATTACCGATGAAATTCATCCCTCCTTTTCTTCATTGGCAGAAAATAACGTTTTTTTTTCTACATAGAAAGAATGATTTTGTCAAAATATCTAAAAATTTGAAAATATTGTTGTACAGTCAAGTTGGTTGCTTGAATATTAAAAATTTTGCTGCATTGTTAAATTCATTATGTTTGAGTATTCTACATAATTATTTTGATGGTCCAACAAAATTATTTATATTTAGCTAAATTTTTAGATACTTCAGCAAATTCAGTCTTTTCGTGTGTAATTGCGTGAAATCAGATAAATAAGATATTAATCAGAACACGTTTGAGACACTTGTTCCAATTATGAACGATTAATATACTTTCCTTGGAATTTAACGCAATTATCCAAACCATACAAGTTTTAAAAAATAAATTAATATGAGAGAAAAAGAATATTTCTCATTTCCTTTAATATCTCATATAAGGTTTTCGCGTCAAGTAATTAGAAGAGAGATTTACGCATCGCGTAAACCGAGTTAAATTACGATACGCGGACCGGTCGTTTTAGTACTAAGCCGACGATACCTCGGATCCATCGAGATCGCACGATTCTTCCCTCGTAACGGGATTTCGAGCGACTGTAGATTACGCGACCGGTAGAAACCTCGGTTATCAGCGCGATGACGAGAGAGCGTCTCGGATTCGCGAGATCCGGCCGACGACGCTGAATGATTGCGATTTATGAGGTTCCTCATGGTAGCTGGCGATCTGGCGGACCGATCTCAAGTGTTCGCAAGCGGAATTTGTTGACCGACTCAATCGTAAAGGTGCCGCCACAACGAGGCGTATCCGGATTTTGCACATAAATTTTACAGATTATTTGTCTCGCTCGTCAAGCGCATTAAATTCTGATATCGTATCAAAATTTTCTCAGCTTAGCATGGCTTCTCGTCATTGCTTTTCTTTACTTGTAAACGTCTTCATAACGTTTTAATGCGACCGGACTATTACGTCGTACTAAGCTCGAGTTATCTCGCACGATGAACTTTACTTTTGGTGCTCTTTATCGTCTCTGTTGAATCTAATTTACACGCCGGTAGTTTTGCTTTTTGCCTCGCTTTTGCGGTCGGCTCTAAGTTGAAGTTGCCCGACATTTCGTTTAATCACCTCAATCAGTCTATGCTGCGCATACTCAATTCGATCTTCTATCAGCAATCGCTTATAGCTTCACTTAAGATGTTAAAAATAAATATATATGTAGAATCAGCGATACTAATCATTAAGGATTCTTCTCGCATTCTTTTTCTAGTCTTTACAAATTATAAAGATATATATAAATATATATAATTATGATATAAATAAGTATTTATAATAACATACACTTTTTATGAAATTGTACTTCTACACGCTTTAACTTTTACGATTTGAAAATTACTCAAGAAAGACGAACGAAGATCGATGCAGTGTTTGACGATCCATGCGAAACAATGTGCGCTCGTAAACGTGATCGTAAATTAAAATTAGCCTAAACGGATTACGCGAACGGTATTCTGCAATAAAAGTATGCTTCAGTCCCGTAAATCTCAGGCAACGTTTCTAAACTGCCTGTCAAGGTAGATAAGTGCAGCGTACTTAGAATAGGCCGGGATAAATATCGCGAGTTTGCGTTAGAGTAAGATGAAGAGCCGCGCATTACTCTTCGCATTCGTGTCTTGCTTGAACGCAGGCAGGCATGGGACTTATACCTTCGTATCGATATATGTAAGGCCTTCAAGGCCCACAATAATACTGTGATTAATCTGTTAGATGGATACGAATAAGCATTTTAATACCGTTTTAAATTAATAAAATGATAGAATCAATGCAATTCAAATAAAATCGATTACGATATTTATAAGAAAATTATCAGATCTTTTTATGGAGGCATTTTAGTCGTTTTCAGATTGACAATTTATCTATTTTACGATAGAAAAGAAAAATATTGGATAATTCAATGGGAATTAATCTACACGTGTTTATTCTGTACTAAACGTTGCTATAAAAATGAATACATTTCGTAACGCAAACTTTACTGTTAAAATTAATGAGCGTATAAATTGTTTCTAAACTTGCAATTTTTTCTCGAAAGAAATTAGATTTATTAATATTTATGCGCGACTTATCTTATTCTACTTATTAAAAAATGCGAGAGATTATCGATTCTTTCATCGAAGCTTTCATATGTTATTTTAATTTTATTTTAATAACGATCTAAAGTATATATATATATATATATAAATGCGTGATAAGTTTTTATAATAAATATATTCCTAAATAATTTTTAATTTAAAAACTGTATATTTTATTTGTGGTTTTAATCAAATTTCTAAATCTCCTTCGGATGAAAGAAACATGTTTGAAAATAAAAGTCTTCCCATAGCATGCGATGATAAAATATCACGGGCTTACTTTGTATCGCGACAAAAGTCAGAGCCCAATAATAGAATCTAAAAGAAAGCATGCGCATACTGATGGCGGCACTTACCTTTGCAGCCATCCGCCGACAAGCCGTAGTGGTCCACGTCGCAACGATCGCACCGGAAGCCGACGACGCTCGGCGCGCACCTGCACACACCGCTTACGGACTCGCAGAACCCGTCGATGGCACCCACGTCGCAGTCGCATTCCCGGCAACCTGCGGTCACGTTCCCGTAGCCCTCGATGCAGGAGGAACAGTCACGACCGGTGAACAAAGGCCTGCAAGGACACTGACCGGTCGTCTGTTCGCAATGGACTGAATTGCTACCGAAGGGAGAGCAGTCGCACGCTGAAATACAAACGGTACCCACGCTCGTAATATGTCCTTTTGATGAAATTAATGATGTGTCCTTTAATCTAATTGCTACATTAATTTGTTTTGTAGTGGAAAGTACCTAATTGTCACTATTTTCGGCAGATCTGTGTCATAAACATTTGATAAATCTTAGTAGCAGTTTATTGGCGATATATTAGTATATGACTCAGTCATGTTTCGTTCGAGCGATCAACATGCGTTTTTGATACTCTTTAGTGATAATAAATTTTAATTGGTTTTGATCCAATATGTCGAGACAAATTCTTCTATGTCTTGGGATTACAATATCAAATCTAATGGTGATTTTTTCTTGGACATGAAGGGATTGATATTTTGAAATTGTATTGCTGAGGTTGGTTCTAAAGTGAACTGAAACGTACTATTTTTTGAAATAAAGATTCTATTTTTTGGAATAAAGATTTAAGATTGCGTACTAATTACCACGCTGACTCTCATTCGCCATGATTTTTTTTTGGATTTTTTTCTTATTGAATTTGGAAGAGTCCGTAAGAAGATTACATTATTACTATATTAGTTAAATGTTGGGGATATAAAATGTTTGGGCAATATTGCGTCAATAATTATGTTATTAGGGAACTTTCAATACAAATATATTTTCGTGTAAAAAAGAAAATTGATTTCAAGTACAGAAGACAGAAATAATTTTTAAACTATCGAAATTCGAGATGACTATTCGCAATTGAACAATTTCAGAGTTTACAGAGATTGTCGTAAAGTATGAAAGCACTCACGCATGCAATTCTGTTCCAGAGGATTTCCATAATGCGCTTCTTTGCATTTCTCGCACTTCCAGCCCTCAGTATTACCGCGGCATTCCAAACATCGACCCGTTTCCTGGTCACAGGCACCACCGTTGCAAGGACACCGTTCACAAGTACCGCCAGGTACCACAGGATTACCGTAGAATCCTACATCACAACTTTTCACCCAAATCGAAATTAAAGCCTTCCATTTCGATGATAATATTTTAATAATTATTATATGCAACTTCAAAAAAGGCAATGACGCCTAATAATTATAGCCATTTTAACGGACACTATTTTTTATTATAATATATTAAATTAAACGTCTATTCATATATTAATATAAATTTTTTATTCGTAGGATCAGAATATCTTTTAAAAGAATATAAAATTGCTAAATGCAATTATAAGAAAAAAATTGTAATTAATTAATTTACTATAAATAATGTAATTAAGACGTTTGCATATTTATTATTCGCAATTTAATCATTGTATTTTACAATTTTATAAAAGATATTTATTTAAAATATATATGTATTATTTATTTTCCTTACCTTTCGCAATGATCTCCGGTATATCCTTCAGGACATTGCGTGCACACGTATCCGCTATTCATATCAATGGGATCGTCAAGCTGACAACTCGGACTGAAATTGTTGGAGTCAACGGAAAGTGGACATGCGCATTTCTTACAGTCCTCGCTGGTGCCTCTCGTTGCGATACCGTAATATCCTGTAGCGCAACGATCACATTTTGGACCTACCGTATGATGTTCACACGTCTGGAAATTATGCAGACGACATGCCACGTAAATTAAAATTAAATATTATCCTATTAAAATCGCGAGCACAAATTAAATTTACGATTGAAAGTTTTAACTCTTTCAATTAATGGCAAAACTATTTATTTCCTAAAAAATTTAAATATAAAAAAAGTGATCTAAATTAAAGTCGCAGTGATATAAAAAAATTGAATTCAAGAAAAAATGAAGAAAGTCAGCTTTGCATATCGTCATTTTTCGTTGAATTCATAAGTTTTAAAAATTTAACAAGATTTCTCTTTTCATCTTTTTTGGAATAAGCTGCTTTGAATAAAAATAATTTTAATTCGCGTTAGTCCTGGTTCTATCAAATACAAGTATGAGCTTTCTGTTATTTTTATTTTACCTTTTTTCGGTCATTATTTTTCACGAAAGCATGTGTATATAAGTAGTGAAATGTAAATGTATATGAGTATACATCCGCAGCGTGTTGAGTTAGGATCCATGAGTTTGCTAAGTCCAAATGACTGCGGATCAGTCATCTCTGTGGAAATTAAATTTTCCTACAGAAAGCTAACTAGTATCGCTATCTGCACGGCATGAATATACAACGAACAGGTAAGTAAAGGACTTTTGTTGCTGAGTCGGTAAAATAGCTCGCGCGATCAATAGATCCCGTAATCTATATAGCTGCCGCAGATCACAGGATCCATATGAGTTCAGGTATTTTAAGCATGCTGCTATACCGGCTGAAGATCAGCCACGAGAAATTGAAGGTATTTCAGAGTGGCTACGTTAAAGCCAGTTGCACGCTGGAGAACTTTTTTTACACATTTTACTTGTATATTACATCATATATTCTTGCTAATAAAAAAAATTATTTTCCATACACTTATATAGTTTTAATATATTTTACTCGTAATATTAGAAAATAATTTATATTTATTAAACTGATTCATATTAATTGTGCTAATTTATTAAGTTCATTATATTAATAGGCAATTAATTGTTTTGATACATTACATTATCTTTAACATTTTCATCATTGGACAATAAGACATCTAATAGTAATAACCATTTTTCTATTAGCTTCTCATATGTATATTTTGGTTTCTATTTTATATATAAAATAAAATTAATAGGAACTCACCCCACATTCGCCCATTATGAGATCGCAGGAGCCCGCATGACTGTTGCAATCACATTTCACGCATTTGTGACGGTCCTGATGATCAGAACCATTGATGGGCATCTTTACATATCCCCAGGCACAATTCTCGCAGGACATTCCTGTGTATTCCTCGGAACATTCGCATATTTCGACCAGATTGTCGGTTTCGCCATCCGATGATAATTCGCCTACCGTTAATATAGCAGACTGGAGACTAGTAAGAAATAGAAAGATTGCTTCGTTACGCCTTACTATAAAGTTAAAATCCACGCGCGAGATGTATGCCCGATAAAGAGTTGGAAATTTATGCACCTTCCTTCGATTTGCTCCGAATGATATCGCGCCCTTATCATCAGGTACTTGAGATCGGCGAGAACGCGCATCATCTGCGCCCTCGTCACAGGATCCCCGCGAAACTCGGTTCTCCTCAATCTGGTCGGGATGTCCTGAACGTCGCTTCGCACGTGAAACCAGCCTTGCTCTCGTAAAGGCACCGCTATTTCAGCTTCTTGACCATTGTACTGTTCCTCGCCGTACGCTATGCGCATCCCATTGTTACCCTTCGCGAGTGCGTGAATTGTACGTTATTATATATATATCTATTTTCTTCCTAGGGCTTGGATTAAATGTGCTTGGAAAAATGCGAGAGCGGATATTTACAACTAGGATAACGTTGGGCTCCGTGGTCGGTTTACCACTGGTGTCGCCTCGCATGACAACCCACGTAACGGAGTACGTAAGATTGCTGCCGTACGAGGATACGCGATTCCCCGTGTAAATCTGTGGCGCCAGCCAGAAAGGACTGTCATACTCGACGTCGAACGCTGCCACGGTTAGCCATTCGTTGTCCGTGTCCAAGGTGGGAACGACTGCCCGAGAAGCGTTCATGTCAGTCACCAACCAGTTCTCCAGTGTAGAAATCTAAGAAAAAAGCGAGTCACACGACCCGTCTTCCGTTATTTTATAGGTCTATTATCGCTTTTTTGTTTTATCTCAATTCCAATTATTTTTCGCGAAATCGTATTTAATAAAAAAGAGATAACTGATTCCTTAAAGAATCATTTAATTATAATATTTTTTAATTTATGATAATTAATATTATTCATAATTCTTACAATTAGCAAAAAATAATTTTATAATAAAGTTTCAATAAATTATATGCCATAAAGGTTCTTATGCATATTGTCTATATTATAACGTAATTCGCGTTTTTTGTGCGTTCCACCTCGACGTCATTACTGTCATCGTAATTGCGGGTCTGCAATTTATTGGCGAGAGTGATAAACTATAATTGTCTCTTTATACACTTTATCACGCACGACGAGAACGTCACCCAAGATTAACGCCCTAAACCGAATGATATGCCCGCAGGAGAACGTTAACTAATCGTTTTGAATTTTACACCTGTCAACCTGATCTTGACTCTTGACAAACGAGGTTTTTCGCTATAAATCAGGATAAATCTGATCTCATATACGTACAGAATTATACTCAAGATTAACTGCTCCTATTAACAAAATGTCTTAATAAGCAATGAATTCCTGTACATTTTTCAACTAGGAAAATTTTCCTTAGACTAGATACTCAATTTTGATAATGTAATTACTTTAGTTTCTAACTCAAATTCATTAAGTAATTGAGTAATAATAGAATTGTACAAAGAAAAGAGCGCGAAATCACAGAACTACACACAGAAAAATACAAACATTACGTATTTTATTTTAATATTTAAGTTTCAAATATTTCAAAAGTTCATGTATCCGCAAATCTATCAAATTCACAAGCATCAAATTTATTCAAAATAAATTCTGAATCCTAGAAATTTAATACTTTAATCAATATTAAATAAAATAAATTGATTTACTTATTATATAAAGTTTCTTTCGTGTGATAGCTTCATAATATTTTATAATATTCATAAAAAAAATAAATTCTTGTTTTAAATACACATACGTATTTAAAACAAAATCTACTGGCAATGTACTGGATCAGTATTACTATTCAATACTGATTCATAAATTGGGCTAGTATCGTATCATTAGTTTTATGGTACTGATCCAGTACTAAAATATGAAACTCATTTTTCGGTACAGATTCGGTACCTCGCCAGGATTCAATACCGTTTTTCTGTATAAATTCCCACTTGGGTAATAATAAGTTTTTCAAAATTATATATCTTAAAACTATTATCAATAAAATTCTTTTTTTTTTTGTTAAACATAACTTACAATTAGAATAAAAAGTAGAATAAAAAAATAAACTGAGTAATCATTTTTCTTAGCAGTATAGAATGAAATTTTCCTATGTGCACAACTTCCAATATTTGAAGTTTTCCTATTCTAATAAAGATGTCACATGTTAAAAGTTTCTTTTAAATAAAGACTTACAACTTTTATAAAAAAAAAAAAACTTACCATGCTGTATTGCAATCTTGCAGTAGTACAGCGATCTACTACGCCAAAACAATAGCAAGACATGCAGCCATCGAGATCATCCTTGGTGAGCGCGAAGTATCCGGGTTTGCAACGATCGCAGAAATCCCCCGCAACATTCGCCTTGCACAAACAGTCGCCCTCGCAATCATGGGACGGCAGGATCCCGCGGGAATCGCAGGGGCACGGCATGCAATCGGGAAATTGCCGATAACCAGCAGCGCATTGATCGCATTTATATCCCGAATATCCCGGCTTGCACTCGCACGCACCTGCTACCTGGAGCACAATCGGTATTTAGACCATTTAGAATCGATCGTGAGAACGATCCCGTTTAGAGATTATCGGGGCGTGTAAATTATCGCGCAAGCGATTACACGCGGTTGACGTTCCTCCACGATTTGATGAAAACGACAGCGGTAAATTTACATCGGATGGTGGAGAAACAAAGAACTTTTAATGCTCTAAGAAGCGTTAATCGAAAAAAAAATTCTTTACGTTTTTCTATTCATTAGAAAAATTGTGTATCAAAGCTCACAAAAAAAGGAATTTTAATACGCACGAATTTATTTTTCAACTTGTTGAATATAATATCGTTCTCTTATTTCAAAAGTCACATAACTTAAAAAAGTTCAAGTTATTATTTTTGCCGATAGTATTTGATTAATTAATAATTTTCTATCCACAGCTCAAAAAATTACTTTTTTTCCTTTTCTGAGAACTTAATTTTTTTAGATGTGTTATGTTTGAAGTAAGAGAGTGGTTAAATGTTTTTTCTAGGATATTTATGCAATTGAAATTATAGCTCTCTCTTACCTTTCCCATACGCGTGTAAGAATCATCAGGAGTGCAGTAGCCTGTACTGCCACGTATGTTACAGTCGCAGGGTAAGCAGGGTTCCGATGCATCAGGTGCAACGCCATTCGGCCTGTAGTAGCCAACCTCACATTTCTCACAGTTTATACCGGTCGTATGTTCCTAAGATTTTGCAAATATGTCTCCAAATGTACTCGTAATACCTTATTTCTTAAATATATATATATGATCTTATTTTATTTTATTACTTATCCGACATTTTCAATATTAATAATTTTATAGACATTTATTATGCATATATTTATTATACCGCACAAGTAAAAGTTAATTTCTAAGGATACGAGGAACTAAATATGTTTTATTTGTACAATTTTTTGTAGATAGTTTTCAAATCGTACCTTAAGTACGTAAGTGTATATAGAAAATATTTGATCTTAAAAAATTGACTTTGAGATTATTACTTAAATATTATTCTGTAATTAATTACTCTCATTAGAGAACCACTCGTTTTCCAGGATGCGTGCGTTTGTCACTTTAAGATGCATTTAATTAAGATGTTAAAACGGATAGTCTCAATTAAACGGAACGCATTTGCGTTTCGTTTAACTTCTTATCATCTCACCGAGCAATTGACACACACGCCACCGCCTCGGTATTTCCCACGGATATCCATGGACATTCTCCTCTCGGCCACTTCCTGGTCATATCTGCAGGACGTTGCATGGCCATTGCAGTTGCACTTCTCGCAGTGAAAGCCCTTACCAGCTGTGCCGGGCTTCCACGGGATCTGATTGTACATGGGGCAGCATTTTTCGCATCTTTCACCGCACGTGTGGCGCTCGCATTCGCATTCCTGATGCTGAGAGATAACGTGAAATACGCTTATCAGATGCCGCGAATATCCATGTTCTTAAGTTACGCTTATCTATTAAGTCATACGGCGAATACGCACGATCTATTACAGATATGTTGCAGATAGGCTACAGGAGGAGGCGTTTGCCAGTTATGCTGCAATATCTCTATGTAATAATTTTGAGTCTGTTTGTGGAAACTTGTTTATCGTAAAGTTGCTTGGGATTTATGTCATCGTTCTGTTTCCTTGACTTGCTAATTATTATCAAGAAATTAATAACATTATGGCAATTTATCTAATATTTATTGTTGAGTTCTTAATTGACGTTCATGATATGTTAATTTAACACGTATACATATCTATCGATCCTAGTATTTACGTTTTAAAATACATTTTTTATTTCATTTGTTCACTCATTGTGTTATTTTGACACTAAGAAATGTTATAAATATTAATTTAACATAAAATATTCAAATAATATAATCACATTATGTTAAATTAATATTCGGACGTGTTAAACAAAATTTTAACAAGAACAGTATTAACACGAATAGAAAATGTTTTTTTGTATATGAAACATTTATTACCATGTATTATGTATGCCATACCGAGAATGATACCAAAGGGTTAATAATAATTTAACTATCTTTATAAACAATTTTCCCTTCATCACTTGATAAATTTTGTGGTAAGTAAGTTATTAATCTGCAATCGCTTTGGGACGCAAAATTAATTGATTCATTCATTGATTAGTCATGAATCGATGTATTCAGTAATGTTACTCCGGATGTTACCGCATTGCGGGATCATAAAGACGGGACTTCATAGACGCGGTCGTCTATCCGAATGTGCAAACGATATGCATATAATCGCGGATAACTATATTGCTAAGCTTAGAGTGGAGTTCACATTGCATTGGACGTTATATATTCAGTTTACGAGTTTCACTTTGTCGTTTAAAAGATTCAGCGAATGTCATAATATCGTGGAACTAGCAGATTACCCAATCATAGAAGAAACTATAGACAGCTCAAAGATCTGAATGCGCTTTATCGTAAATTCTAAATTTTCTCGACAAACAAGAACTATTGCATTTTTACTTCATAATATCAAATACTGTAATACATATACGATTATATTTGAGTATGTATAATATAATGAGATTATAATGAAAACAGCTACAAAACTGTCATAATTAATTGCAATACCACAACACTTTATACACGGAAAGAATAATTTTGATGAAGTATCTAAAAATTTAGCTAAATATAGATTTAATGATAATTTTCTTGAATTATTAAAATAATTATGTAGGACGTTTAAGCATAACGAGTAATGCTGAAAAACGTTTTGATAGTTCCAGTAATCAGCTGAAGTGTTCCACATAATCCAACAAAATTCTTTTCAGATTTGTATCTAGCTAAATTTTTTAATATTTCATTAAAATCATTCTTTTATAGTGTAACAATAAAATCAATGATCATCTTCAAGTTATAAATGACAGTTAATTAATGATTAATGATTAATATCACCGGATAACTCGCTTTCTCTGACAGAGTTACTTTGTATTGACTCCGTAATTATTGGAGCGTACATTGAATTGGGCCGAAGAAATCGCACAAAGAATTAGCCGAAAATAAATTGCGGCAGGATTAATGAGCTTCGATTTCACCGAAATATCGCGCGTCCGATAAACGTGAATGCATGCGGAAGAGCGAAAGGGTTAACGCGACGCGTGTGGCCTTATCATTGGCGTGACAAACGAACAGGCTACTCTGGTCAATTGCAATATCCCTCCATTAACACATGGTGGGTATTATTTACTGCCGATGATAATGGCTACCTCGTCTGCGATCAGCAATCAAACCCCGATTTCTGCAATTACTCTTCGCCACGGCGACGTTTAATGAACCTGAATTACATTTCATCGGAAATCATAATGTTTCGGAGCCGTTATTCTCGAATCAAGATAGCCCGGCCTCCGAAAAATAAAAACCTCTGATTCAACGTGATGCCTCAGAATGGTTGGCCTTAATTTTTACGACCGATTGTTTGACTAATTCATCGCTCGGAGCAATCTTTCTCTTTTATTAAAGAAAAGAAAAATATAATAATTTCAGGATCAATAATTTTCGGTTTATATAAGTGGAAATAAATATACTCAAACAGAAATCGATAATTTAAACATTAATAAATCAAGAACATGTGTGTGTTTGCGAATTTGTTTATGATTCATAAATTATATATTGCTTGAAAATTGCGAGAAATAAATCTCACGTGGAAATTTCTCCTCTAATTCGTATGCAGTTGACTAAACAGAAGTTATTAAAAAGAAAGATATTGATGACGCAATAATATGAATGACACTACGTAAAAAAATAATTATATTATATTTTTTCGTATATAAATCAATGTTTTTTTAGACAGAATTTTTTATGGAACTGAGAAATTTACGTTACATAAATGAACCATAAAATAAATTTAAGGCATTTTAAATCTCCCACCAAAAAAGCATGAAAATTTTGTACATCAGGCGAGAAAGACGGAAATTCAAGATTTTCTAATGTAAAAAAATTAAATGAGATATCTATTGTATATTTCCTACCAAAAAATTTAGTTTAAAATATTTTTAAATAAAGTTAAAAAAGTGCTACCATAATTCATTTTTCGATCGCGCAACGTTTAAAGAAATTTGTTTCAAATGTGTGGTAATTAATGTTAATTGACTAAAACGTATTCGAATGATAAATGCAACGAAAGAAATGTCCATTGCGAAAGTGACCGTAACATTGTATGGGGAATAAGTGCACAATATTCCCCAGTGTTCTCGTTCGTAGTGATAAACAGGAAAGAAATCAACGTCCTCTGTACTCTCAATCATCGCGCGCATTTCTGTTTTGCTTTCACGTTGTATCTGCCATTGCACTTTCCTCAACAATTCCCACTTCGATTCATAACAACGGACGCGCGCTGAATGAGCGCGTGTACTTAACTCGCATCGAATAAATAAACGTCGTGAAAATTACACGACGAGTAAGCTACAATGCAAAGGTCAATGCCCACTTTACGGCGATGTAGTGATTCCGATGCGGCGGAACGTAACGTTGCATCATGTATGACATAATGAATGTTCTATCACATTACGCGTTCACGATTTCGCGAAATGCTTGCAAAATTCTCGGAATGTTGAGTACATTGGCAGCGACACAAAAGGAAGTCGTAACGCTCAATGTAACATCTTTTGTCATTCTGCAGGTCTCATGAATAAAATTTTGGAAACCAAAACGAAAAATCTTGTACAAACTTTTCACATATCTCTCTTTCATTTATTACAATTTTAATTAAAGACAAGAATAAAACATTTCAAAATTATAAAAAGATTAATTTCTCTAATTTTAATATCTATTATTTTGCCAAAAAAAGATTATATTTATATAATATATAACAAATAATTTAAATAACAAAATTAATTTCTGGGAAACTTTATTTTTTTAAATAAAAATATCTTTTAATTCATCATTTAACTTATGTTCTGTACAAATAATGTATTTTGACAACGACGCTAATGCAACATGAGAAAGTAGATGTTGCTTTATGAGTATCGTGTAGGGAATTTTTTTAACTTGAACTTTGTCTGCACAGAATAAGGTAATCGCGAGAAGAGATTTCGCAATTTCAACGACAGCGTTGTTAAGAGACATAGTAAACTATTATTGTCTGTTAAAGCCGGCTGCATGGAACACAGACTAGGAGAATATCCATTCTCGGATTGTAGCGACATAAGGTGAGATTCATGTTTCTGTATGCAGCTCTGAGAGAGAGAGAGAGAGGGGGGGGGGAGAGAGAAACTCTGGCTTCGCGAAGAAATATGCCACGGACAAGAGTAATTAATCACTTGCGTTGACTATTGTCTTCCCGCTCGTGTATTGTGCCGCCTGAGAAACTGCAGCAACGTGTCCGTAATTAAACGTGAATCATCCCTTGGGATAAAACACGGCGTTTGCATTTTCATTCTGTCTCATGAGTGCTATAAATTTATTTCGTGCTACTTATTCACTATTAACCAGCATTCTCTTTCGCATTTAATGCGGTCTATTCATATTTTATGTTTGTATCATGTGGAAATAGTGTTTATGGCTCTAAAGCGCTATAATTTGTTTGATTAGAGAATTATAATTAGGTAAACACTAGGAAATTTTATATCGTTATACATATATGTATATATACTAGTATATATATTTGGTTGAATTAATCCTAGAATGCTATCGCTACTGAATGATATAGTATCGTCAATAAGGAAATTTTATATACAGTGAAATAGGTCACTCTTAACTAATGCAACACAAGTTTTTCATATATTTTATTTTTAATAACAAAATATATATTTTTAATAACAAAATATTTATAATCTTGACTTTTTATATGAACATAGATAATCTAATTATTAATTTAAATGGAAAGAAAGAATAATTACACTATAAACTCAATTTTCAAATGATATGAAATATGTAGTCCAAATTCGTATGTGTGTATGCCTTCTCATATGTTTAAATAAAATATGTGATAAAACTTTTTAAAAAATGAAATCCCTTATCACGCTCTTTATTATAAGATTATCCACCAAGAGATCTAAACTGACACATAAAAAAAGATAGAATTTTGAAAAAATTTTTCTTTGCTTATCCTAGCTTTTAGCTTATAACAGGTTGGATCTCCTAATGAGTATTGAAGGCATAGCTCAGCTTTTAATAATCTTGTTCATTTGTGAGTAAAATTTACGTATTAGCATTCTAAGGTTAATAATACTGTTTAAATCACTTGGCAGATTTTAGATAGAATTAGATAGAATTCTGAAAAAAATGTAGTATTACAAATAAAACTGTTTCACAATAATACATAACACGATTGAATTAACACAATTATTGTTTTAATAAAATATAACTCAAATAATTCATAACTCACGAAACAATCACATGATGAACTGAAAGAATTAGGTCATCCTTTGTTGAACGAGCAATTCTCACGGTTCTAATCATGATTCGTCATTCTATCTTCAATTTCAATTCCCACAACTCCGAACACGTACACTAGAGAAACCGCAACATTGATAGTGCCTAAAAAAAAACTAATGGCGCCTCCGAAAGCACCCCCGCTCCGCACGATCGCGGCGAAACCTTAATTCCTGGCGGTTTCTGCAGGCTTTATAGCAGGCAACGATTCGAGAAGGAGAGACCCGGCCATTAGCGGCGTCGGCGGACAAAGACCTGACAAGTTTATGGCACTTTCGACGGATTTATTTTCCAAGCAGCTAAATCTAAGTGTCCGTTTTCGAGAGCGTAACCAATTTTGGCGCCATGAAAATTGTCTCATTATAAGCTTTCCACGAATTTTCACGAGATGAATTCCACATTTTGCTACAAATCGAATACTATGCAAAAGAATTATACAAAATTTTTTAACGAAAAAGAGACGTTAAAAACACGTTCAAAAACTTTAAGTCAATGTAGCTATTAAATTAGGTATATTGTTCCCACATAAATTATAATTTAATAATAAAATATTATACATGTATTTTTAAAACGCATAAATCTAAAAATATATGTGCTAGTATGATGATACGTTACAATATTTATCAGTTAGTAACTATGTCGTCATGTACTTACCCCGTGTTGAACGCTGTACCGACATCGAGCCGCATGTCCGGAGCACAGGCAACGTCCTCCGATATTGATTTCCTTTATTGAATAAAATGCACGTCTCTTGTCAGCCTCGCCGTTACGTCGGAGACCCTGAAGACGAAGCCGCACAAATCTGGCCTGAGTGAATTCCTGCAGAGTCGCACTGTGATTCAGAGCCCCGGGTCGACCGTTCACCAAGTGCGTGTGGATCTTTCAAATAAAGAAATCGAAATCCTATTAATTACAACAATTTTGCTCGTTAAGTAGTTTATAGTATAATATAATATAATATTACCCATTAGTAAATATATACGATATTTGAGAGAGAGAGAGAGAGATTGCAATAATAAAAAAAATAACTCGATAATAATTTAATTTCCTATCTGCATTCGAAAAATGTGATCTCAAAGTATATTTCTAATTATAATTTTATTGCAAATAGTTTTAAAAATAAGAAGGGATCTCTATTTTTATTGTCAAAATATAACAGTTATATAATTAATTTTAATAGTGAGAAGAAAGGGAAGCAAATAAAATTAGATGCAATGTCTGTACTCCTATGATATGGTTGTTGAACGATCAGCGACGGTCAATTAGCGTCGGCGGGCAAAACTACTAAATTCCAGAGACATGGGCAAAGAAGTAAATCATCCCCGAATGGCGCTGCGTGCTAAGAATGGAACGGCGAGTTCCATAAATGGAGAGTATACGGTACCTAATAAGGAACAATCACTTGTATTTAGGATACCTCGCGATCTTTCGCTGATTGCCAAACTTTGTCTTCAATTTTTTGTTCATGCTTCCAACAAATCAACGAAGTTGTCTATGCACGTATCGATTGTTTTTAGTACTTGTGCATAATCTCACGGAAAGGACAGTTTTGCTGAAGTATCTAAAAATTTAGCTAGATACGAACCGAAAAATAATTTTGTTAGATCATCAAAATAATTATGTAGGACATCCCAACAGGGGCTAGAATTTTACAACTTTTGCAGCATTGCTCTTTATGCTTGAGATTCCTATACGTAATTATTTTAACGATACAACAGAATTATTCTTATCTTTAGGTCTGTGTGTGTATCTAGTTAAATTTTTAAACAGTTCAGCAAAATTGTTCTTTTCGTGCTATTGCGTTTCCATTCTCTTTCACTTTCTTATCTTGCTATTTTTATTTTCTCCAAAGAAGGTTTCTCCAAAAGCTGCAATACTGCGTAAGTGTAATTTCCAAAATAATATTTATTTACTGGAAAAATTATCGAAGACGTGGAACGAGAAGCAGGCTGATGTCACCCGGCTTCGAATTCTCGGTAACTCAGCTGATAATTAAAGCTTTGGGTGCACGCGGAATTGCGATGAGGGAAGAAACGAAAGAGAGAAACGTGAAGAGGGAATCGATGATACAAAAACAGCGATTCCTACATTCCGGCCATGTATGGCACTACATGGCCATATAAGGAAGTATCGCGTATGCACCTTCCTTAGGGAGGGAAGCTTGGTAGTTTTACGCTTCTACACGCGCGAGTCAGACACATGGGGAGGAGGAAAGAATAGGCGACCAAAGGAGGATGGAAGTGTATCTCTCGACATGCGGCAAACTCGTTGCACCCGCTGCCGTTTCGCAAGAAGAGATGTCTCCGCCACGAGAAGGAGATCCTCATACCTAAAGATTCTCGTTATCAGATGATTACCTTTTATTCCTCGGTCTGGTCGCAAAAGTGTGTTTTAACGATTCGCGCAGGTAGATGGAATAACGGAGGAATAATATTGGAAATTGGTTTCTCGAGTAGTAAGCATATTAAACGCTATTTCACTGAATAATGTTAACACTATATTGCAAATCTAAATATGAAATAAGTGTCTTCACATGCAATTTAATTTTCATGTAATCATACGTTTAAATGTGTAAATCGATTTTTTGTATGCAGTATATATTTACTTATTTTAATTACATCTGAGTTATAAAGGCATTTATTACACTTGTTATATAATGAATTTACAGTATATTAGCTGTAAAGTTAATATATTTATATATATTAGAGATATAAAAAAAATAAAGAGTTTCCTCTTTCTAAATAAGAAAGTTTTTAGTCTCCTAGTTTTTTCTGGAAAGAAAAACTCAGAGAATGCGGATAAAATATACTTTATACTTTACAAGATAAAATAAAAAAAATATAAGTTACTAAATAAGTGTGATTATCAAATTCTTACAAAAAATTAAAAAAATTTTTAATTACAAGCAAACTAAAAAAAAAAACAATTAAATAATCCGTTACAATAAATAAATTATTTCTTAAATAATTAAGATGGATCTGAGTTTAGTAATTCCTCACGCATTTAAGTTAAGTAGAGGATAACGCGTGTTAACGTAATTATAAGTAATTATGCCTTTCATAAATATAATTGCATATACCGTTTCCTCAATATTCTTACAATAAAGAATTAGAAACGCAGTTAGAATAAAACAAATCGATATACGCGGAAGAAGATGAAGGAAGTCACTTATAAATTTCTAACATAAAGAAACGTATTGCTTGCGGCAAACTTATTCCAGATGATAACGAGGTGAATGGTAAATTATCGTCACAAAACAGTGCCAATCGCACATCTCGTGCAAGAATGGCTCGGAATAATAACAGAAATACACACTTTCGTTTCGTTCTTAATGCATCTCTTCTAATATTCATTATTACTTTTAGGTTCTTCAATTTAAAATAAACTTTTCATAAACGCATCAAATTATCAATAGTTTTTAAAATATATGCGATCGAAAAATAAGAATTAATTAATCAAATCTGACATACAGAAATTAAGATATAACAAAAGCTTCAACCAATTACATTCTTACTAATAAAGTTTTAAGAGATATAATAAAAGAAAAATATTTTTTAATGATATTAAAATTTATAAAATATATTAAAAATGCAATAAAAAAGATTTCGAAACACCCATTATATATATGATCGAGAAAGGCCTGTTTACGTCAAGTGGCGCCTGGTTCGCCGTTTATTAATGACCTTAAGTCGCCTCCGTACTATTATATTTAAAAAAAAATAAAACCGAGAGAGAGAGAGAGAGAGAGAGAGAGAGAGAGAGGCAAGAGAGACGAAAAACGGGTTTTTTTTTCTACCGGAAGCAAGCGGGCCGGCAACCCCGTTGCCTGTAAAATCAGCTCCCGCTAATCATCCAATCGCGTAATTGCACACGCGCGGCTGCATAAAATCGACGATAATTAACGATGCTGAGTGCGGCCGTGAGGATTTTCGCAAGGATTATTGATAATGACACGGTTAGTCGCGCTCGTAGCGGAACGAATGCTGCGAAAAATGCATTGGCGAGCATGCTCGTTGCATCACGCATGTTATTAACATAACTTTTTATATTGGTTTAACACTTCCGAAAAAAGAATTTCAAAAAAACAATAAGATTCAATTGTGAAATAAACAGTATAAAATAATCTCTAAATTTCTATAAGAATAATTTTCTATACTTAACTTTTATTGAGAGAGCGTGTCAGAATAAAATTATTTTATTGCCGATAAAATGAAGCGCCGTTAAAGAAATTACATTGGTAATATCTGACATTTAAATACTAAATAATTGTAATGAATGAGTGAAGGTGAAGACGATTCATTTTCGATGACGATTAGGCATCATAGCACACAGAGGTGCGCCGATTGGCAGTCTGACATTTGTATGCAACAGGTTATTAGAGATAGGTCGTTATGTTACTTTATGGTTAGCAGTTAAAGGGCTCGCGCGAAAAATGCACTTCGACGTGCTTTTAGTAAGGGCTAATTATCCGCGTTTTCAACGCTGGCAACATTCGACGTTGCGATAAATACGTTGTGTTATTTGCACATGTAACAACATTTCTGGACCTTTAATGGTAGTTGCGAGTTTTTTATACATCAGTTGAGTAATTTATTTCTGTTTCCTGGTTTTGCAATGTTAAACTAATTTATGGGAACAAGTTACAATTAGCAAGTGCATAAATGTTGCTTGATATAGTAACTTTATTTTATACGAAAAAGTGCTCGATTTAATTATACATCTATTATTAATTTAATTATATACCTATTATTATTAAAATGCAGCAAATGTGTGTATAAAACTATCAAGAAACTCACTGAAATAAAGTAAGATTGATATTGCAAGACGATATTTTTTCGGGAGGAGTGACTATAAAAGAAGATAAAATCGTGTGTAAAAAGAAAAAGCTGATATATAGGCGGGTCACATTTTTCGAGCTTTATGAAACAAGAACCATGTCCTCACCTCGCCGTTCTCCATGGGGGTTTGTCTGGAGTACTGGCTGGTGCATATGACCTCGTCGTCGGTGACGTAAACGGGTTTGCCCGCGACAGGCGGTGCCGAATATCTCGTCCAGCATTCCCCATCGCTCGGCGCGTAATACTGCCATGGCTGGAAGTTCTCGCCATCCAGAGATCTCTCCAGAATCCAGGCCGCGGGTCTCGGCGAGTTCGCGGACTTCACTATCACGTATTCCACTTGGTAGACCTGAAAATATAATAACGTAAACTTGAATGCAAAGATGTTGGTAAAAGAAATTATATCGATAGTACAATTTCCTAATTAATTATTAATTGTAAAACAACAAAATTAATATTATAATATCTGAAATATTATCAGAAAAGTTAAAATTTGTATGGAATTATGTGTACGTTAACTTATTATTGCAACGATTAAACCTGGATCAACAAAAAATTTTGGTGTATATTTAACAAAAAAGAATTATCTTAATCAACAAGAAATTCTGTATTTAAGAGAAAATAATTAATCATGCTTATCTGGTCTCTCTAATTTCTACAGAAATTCTAATTTGTTTATTTCAAACAGACAAACTAGAGGAATATACCAAATAATGTAATTAGAATTTCCAATTAATGTAACTAGATCTTTTTTTCAGTAAAAATTAAATATAATAAAGTTTAACATAGCGTAATAATATAGAATTTAAGCGTAATCAGTGATTCGTATTTTCGACGTTCACGAAGGGAAAATGAAGTCCGTATTCTCTCTGCACCCGCGACTCTTCGTATCATGTCCTCGTTGCAGCGCGCTAAGATAAAAATCACGAGCTCAATGCCGGAGGCTGGATTTGCAGGTCTCCCGCGGTTCGTCGGAAACCCCGCCGAGACCAGGATCTTGGATAATTAATTCCAAGCCACGGATTGCGCAGAACTAGTTGGTATTCGTTCGCGTACCATCGACATATCATAGAAGAACACAATATCGTTATAATGCGCCACTGCGTCAATCTTTCTATCTTTTCATCTCAATCAATCATTCCAGGAAAAATATCACACCATTCACAACCGGATATTAAAATTGCTGTCTGCGCTTAGAATGCGTCAACTGCGATTTTGTATGCAGTTTGAGTAGACAAGCGATGAAAATCGGCCGCTACTTGCTATAGCTTCTTTTGCTTGCCTTATTATCTTCTCATTGTTTGCATGTTAAAAACGCTATGAATTGATAGTTAAGTACTGTATGCATACACTATGTGCAGACCCCGCTATATCTCTCGACTATGTCTTGGTATCGCCGGATGTAAATGGCGCAAATTTTAAAATACAATCTGGCGTAGCAAATCGTTAACGGGCGCATACGTAGGCGAGTATTACATTACAGGATGTTTCGTTGAATACTAGACACGTGAATGATACTAGGTACGTATCGTTAGATTATATAAAGATAATAATGTACTAGGTAAATTATCTTTACATAACACACGATGTTACATGATATTTTAGATAAGCACTTCTTCAGCTAAATGTTAATATATTTTTAAATATGATGTATATTTTAATTAACCTTTACTGGGAAAGCCATTATAGTGAAGCTGAAGTAACATCACATTTAGAGGTAAGCAATACAATGAATTATAACAAATCTTACTCGAGGAAAAGCTATAAGATTTTAAAAATAGAACCCTACTCCATAAAGCTTAATATAGCGGTATTAAAAAAAACAGCCGGAAAATGCAAAAGAAATCTTCAATTAAAATTAAATAAATCGAAAGTAAAATTAAATATCATAATTCAATTAAAATTTTTTCTTCATTTATGAAGACATCAAACACTCTAAAACTTTGGCGAATCCCGAATGTACGAGAGGATGTGCAATCACATGCATCTCCAACTGCAGTCGTGATTTAACAAGACGCGAGTCCTTCATCCTGCTGTCGTTCCACGTCTTTGTCGTTGTCATTGTCGTTGTTCTCGTTGTGTCGTCGTTACGTCGGCATTGTGAGACCGGACCGACGCCCACTTTCGGACCATAAAGACAGATCGCATGTCCGCGATACCGGCTTCGTTTCCTTCTAAGGACTTCGTCCGGAACGGCCGATTCGGACCCGTGGAGAAGCCGGCTTCAATTATCCGGCCCTTTTACTTCGTAGACGAGGATATGTGCGGCTCCGTGTGTGAATGTGAGCATTCCGCGATCGCCTTTAGGCATTAGAGGATCGTTACATCGGCGATCGAGAAGTAATCTTTAATTTGTGCGACCAATGGCCTTGCTGTATGAATTATACGACGTATTGACGTGACGGGCAGCATTAACGAGGATGTAGCCGTCTCGTTTAGCATGTGGAATGTGCGAACATATATATGGCAGCATTGAGGATGGCTGTAGGGGAATACGTTTGCGCATCAACATTGTTATGACAGGAGCAAAGGAAAAGGGAAAGCGTTACGACGCAGTCTCTTCCCGAGTCTTCCCTGCCTTTTACCAGCTAAATATTTGCGTTGGCCGCACATGCTTCTCCGGTTTCCAGTTGCCTTCGGCATCGCGTGCCTCGTCATATGGGGTAGGTCATAAGCAAACCACGTATGCATTACTGGCTCAAGGTTGCCCCCTTCCGATTCTCGAGGGTGTTGGGTATTCCACGCGGACGATGTATACGTGAACTGCAGAGTTTATCGCACCAGCACACGACAGAATTATTGAAGGATAAGGTGTGTTTAAATGGACGACCACATGCTTGACAGGCTACGAAATAAACGTCGTCGGACTACCATTCAAGGAGAATGAACAAAAACTAGAAGTTAAATCTGGAAACACAAATGAAGTTTTTGCTACTACATGTGTTTACATTCTTGCTTTAATTTAATGTGCCTTCGCATTCTCATATTTCCCAAACACGATAAACAAAAAATTATTTGGGTGTAATAAATTATATTAAATTATATCTTTTAGGAATTCATATGTATGATAAAAATATAATTTTTATGTCTTTCCTCAAACTTAAAGATTGAGATGGATAATTAACTCTCCGTATATAATCCGGATCTTTCTGGAACATGTGAAATTTTACCTGTCAAATTTTTCCAAAATAAAGGCTGGTGGAGTCCGATTCTCTTATTGAGTTAAACATTTTTAAACAATTTATATTTTTTCCTCATTTTTACTGAAATTCATCTTTTTTATTAAATATAGGTTTTAACACATAAGTAAAAAAAGATTCAAATTGCAGACGGAGGATTAATTAAACTAATTTTAAAATCTTTCTGTAAATTTATGTACATTATCACGAAAGGTATAATTCATTTTTTAATTATTATTTTGAGGAACGATATTATCGCATGTTGCAAAATGGATCGTATTATCGCGTGAGAGCTTGTCGATACTTCATAGATCGTGTTAAGGTGTTCCAGGGCGGAATACTTGATTCAAGGGATACTCCGTTTACGTTCAGTGGAATTAACGCGTGTAAATACCAGAGGCGGGATTGGATAGCTTTGGATGAAGGCACGTCAAGGGCCGTACTTGACGCACCTTGCCTCGACCTTCCGATATATCCAATGGCGTAGACATCACAGTCACGCTATAAAAATTACTAAGATTTACTGAATTGCACAATTAAGAAATAATTTTGCTTCAATACAAAATTGCAAACTTTTACAATCTAATAATGATTGCGTCAACAAAATTGTTGTCCTATATGAATATATACAATATTTTAATCTATTTCACACTTGATATTTCTAATTGAACAGACAACTGATTCCAATTAATTAATATAAAAAGTAATAAAAATAATTTTCCATTGTTGCATTCAATATTAACCCCTGCAGACTCTGTACACGTAATGAACATCAAATTTAAAGAAATTATCCGTTAAAATTAGTTAATTCTATCGACATCATTTGAGATCAGATGTACATAATATGCCTACGGAAAAACAGTCAAAATTTTGAAAAAAAAATTAATTGTTTAGTATGAATTACTTATTAAAATGCTTTTGAATTGAATTAAAAAAATTTTTTTAACATGATTCCAGTAAAATCAGCTCTGAAGGAATTAAATCGAATCGCAGTATTATGCTCTTTTCATATCGAACTATCGCGGGCACTGACAATGCCATTTTAGGAATACCATCATGATTTCTTTCGCGAAAATGAAAAGTGGTCGCGCTCGATCTCGCGCTTGGTATCCAAGAAACATGGATTGTGTTTTGCCTTCGTGGTCTCCGTGGGGAATTCTCGAAGTACCGGCCACGGTGACACGGCGCGAGAGAAATGCAACGGACGGCTCCCACGATCACGGGCGACGGCTTCTTTCGACGTTAAACGCATCCACAACCTTGTAAGGATGCGCCTGGTATTAGCATCGGTGACAGAAATGGCTTTATAGCTGACGCGTACAAAGAAAGTCGAAAATCTAAAGAATCAATGTCCTTTCTTTAGATAACGCTACCACACTGTTAAATTTTATAGGGTCAAATTAACTTAACGTGAACCGCCACTGCTCCTACTTAATAATATCGTTATATTTTACTAAAACAATGGTTATATTTGACACTATACAGTATCAATTTAATTACCATTTTAGTACAATATATTTAGTAGGAGCAGTGGCGAGTCACATTAGGTTAAATTTGACACTATAAATTTAACAGTGCAAAATGAATCAAGGTAAAAAAAAATATATATATATAATGCATCAAACATAATAATGCTTTTATAAATTTTGCATAACGCTTATTCTTAAAGTAGTAAGTTAGTCTGTAATAAAAAAGAAACAGAAAACGATCAGTTATTTAGCTTCCATTATAGAGAGTATATTATTTTTTATTTCTTCTTTAATTTAAATATTATTAGAATATCATTAAAATATTATTAGAAAAAAATGTTAATTATTACTTTGTAAAAATCACGTTTCTTAATTTAGACTGTCAATTACATGATACTATCTATTCCTATAAGATCGCCGCAACAAATCAAATACTTTCACGTATAATCATACGGCCGATCACTCTTGACTGCTTCCCAAAGAAAGGCTTTACCAGAATTACTAACCAGTTAACTCGGACGAAGAAGAGCAGATATCATCGGGCGCGAGACTGTGAACGACTCGCTGAGGTGTGGAAGCGACAGAAGAAACTAAGGAGTCAGTATCGTAAACAGATCTCCCACGACTCGAGGCTGTTATCGGCGACAGGATCTCGAAGGAGAAGCGACACCCCTCAGTGCTTACTCTCATTCGCGCGCGTT